TCCACTTTCAGATGGATTTAGTTTACCAAAAAAAAAATATGGTTTTATACTCAAAGAAGAGGGAAACACGTCAATGAACATCCCTTCTGATCACCCCGAGCAATCTTGACTTTGGGATTTTACGTTTTCCTCCTCTGAGACCACATCACACCCTGCTCAGATCACGATGTTGTGTTGATCTGGGCACTGCAGTGGCCCATTTGGTGATGGAGGGGCTCTATAAACATTCCTCAAGTAAATTATCAAATGGACACTGTTCTTTCATCTTGAGAAAAGCACAAGATGTGCATCCCATAATTCTTCAGAGAATAGCTGTGCAAGACAAATGGGCATCAGCTGTGCGCACGGCTAGTTTTGGCAAAGGATTTATTTCTGGCTGTAGCCAGGACATGTCCTCTAAAGGAATTATGTTAATGAAAAAAAGGCAAAATAAATAGAAATAGTAAAATAGTAAATGTATTAATTTAACGAATTTGTTTGATTTAAAAATGGTATTGCAGTGAGGAATGAACTCAGTGATCCCCAGGGCCCGTTCCAACTTGAGATGTTCTGTGGTTCTATGATGTCTTCCAGGATGAATGCAATCAGGCTGCGAAAGTTAATGGGTTCTAACATAGCAGGCTTGAGTAAATTAAGTAATGCCCATAGGAGGGGTAGGTGGGACTCTGTGTGCAGATGAATTTCATGTAGCCTCCTACAGATCTTGTAGGAAATACAAATAATCTTCCTCAGCCCGTCTGCTTCCCAGCTCCACTGGTGCCGGGTGGTAAATAATGCTGCAAGCTCTGTGTGCACTGGGGTGATGCAACAAAAGAAGCTGGGTTGCTTACCCAAAACTAATCCCCACATTGGAGAAACTAGCCATGCTGCCTGACGTGATGTTCAGTGCTGTTTCCAACCGTTTTATCAAAACTCATAGCCCAGGAACAGGTGAAGCACACAAGCCAGCTTCAAAAGTGATTCACAACTTGGAGTAATTCCCTTTAATTTGTTTTGCTTTGCCATCATGCTCGCTTTGGAGCTTTCAAATCCCAATCTGCCATTTCAAATGAGGCTCTCCATCCTTGGGGCTGTGGCCACGTTGCTGGGTGTGCCTGGTGAAGGCTTACCCCAGCCATCTGTTGGCTTTTTTTAGCTTAACTGAGCTCATGGTACATCCGGCCTCTTTGCTGGGGAAAAGCAGTGACTCTTCATTTATGGCTTCTCTTTAATAATAAATGTTGGTGTAATTAGACTAATTCTGTTTTGTGCCATTCCACAAGACACCATGGCCACGTCAACACTAGCAAGAGGTGTGGTCCTGAGCTCCACTGCCCACAGCCCAAGCCTTTTGGTGATGAGGTCACTTAGGGCTTGCTGTAGTCTCGTCCTGTGAGCCAAGTGCGTGTTTGTGGTTAAGGAGCACCGACTTCACTCATGGAGCATCTTCTGCTTCCCCCCCTTCTGCACCATGAACCAGAGCACAGAGAACAGGATCAGAGGGTGAGCTGTTTCCCAAATGCATCCAGGTAGGGGTGAAGTTGCTGATGCAAATGTGGTTTAGGTTCTCCTGTGGGACAATCTTGAATGCTGTGTGAGGTGAGTGTGGTTAAGCTCAGCAATAGACAACCAGCAAGCACACTTATTTTATCCCAAAGGGGAAAGAGAGAAACCTAAAGGGACGGAGAGAGGAGGAAGACAGGTGTTCTATAAGAACTGCCAAAAATGTCAGTGCTTTTGTAATCTCATGGTGCTGAAAATGTGGACTTCTTTTTTTTTTTCAAGCACCTTCCAACATTCTAGTGGTTCTGCTTGAACTTCTGTAAGCAAGTTGGCACCGTTTCCTCCACCTCCTTATGGCCGTGATTGAGTGATGGTGAAGACATGATCCTGAGCCCTTTATTTTTGGCAGAAGAGGTTAGAGGCTGTTGCACGTTGCAGATTTCACCCTACTGTAAAGCATGTGGGAGCTTGTGAAGTAGAGACTCACAAAGCTCTTGGGATGAGGGACTGTTGGATGGAGGTTGTGCAAAACCCAGACTGTATCAATACACTGTGCATGCAGATTGGACTTGCTCTGCTTCAGCTGCTATCGAACCATCTCAGTGGTGCTGGGGAAATGTTCCTTGTTCTCCTGAAAGCTTCTGCTTTTTAACTCACTGGAATATTCCAACTTGTGAAGAATCTGTTGGGTCTTTCACAAAATCAGGCAGGTGTGTGCATCTGGAGGAGCACACCGTGGGGCAGATCAGGGGTCTCAACACGAGCTGTGCTACTTGTGTGTGAATGCATAGATAAAAAAAATCATCCATTCCAAAATGATTTCCTTGTCTCGTTTATCAAATCCAGGGCATAAATATTGACCAAAATTATCCTATGAATTAATTTTTTGGAAGTAATGTTGGTCCAAAATCAAGGATTACTTCCTAACCTTCACTCATATTTTTGTCAAAATGTGTAGTAGCTTGTAGAACAATCACACATTTAGTAGGTATTTTTCCATGACTGTAGTCTTGGCAACGTTTTTAGAGTCCTGTGATTGATTTTTCAGCACTTGAGATGCATTAAAACTCACTTGCCATGTGAAGCCTGTCTGGGTAACTGATTCAGCCACATGGGTGATAAGTACAAGGAGATGCTGGACCAGGATGGGGAGGAAAACACAGCAGCAAACAATAGAGAAATTGAGAAAAAACTATCTGCTGAAAGGGTAAGGAACTACCTCTCCCTGGAGAGTTCCAGTGGGATGGAGTGGAGATGTGAACGGGTTTTTATTTGGGTGTTTACAGAACCCAAAAGTTGCATGGGTGAATTTTAATCCCAAACTTCTCAAGTTTGGCTCAGCTGTGCCAAGGCAGTTGCCTATAGAGGTGGTTCATTCACTGCAGCCTCACTGCTGCTTTTTTGGGCCAGGGAGGGTAAGTTTTAGTCGTGGACACCTGGGCTGACACAAGCACTGAGGCTGCCACCAGAAGTGGGGTGTTTAGTATGGAAATCCTCATTCCAATTTCTGTAATTTTCCTTTAGGAGCCCACCTGTGCTTGTAAATACAGACGTGTGTGTGGACTGGGGAGTGTATGGACTCTAAGCTCATGGCAGAGCAATTTGGCCATGTGGATTGGATTGTTCCTAGTGGCTGTGCTGTTGGAGTACCTACACTTCTCCTTCCAATCCCCTTTGTCCCATTTATTTCTGGGATGCAAAGCCTCTGGTTGGAGTTAGGCACCCTGTAGCACTGAGATTTGGTAGAAGTTGGGTTCCGAACTTGAGCTGAGTTGAGTTTGAACCATAATTCTGGCCAGTAATGAGGAAATCAGAAAACACTGTTTGTTTGTTTGTTTGTTTGTTTGTTTGTTTTATTGGCACAACAAAAAATTATGTAATTTCAGTCCTTTATTGCTTCCATTGTTTGGCACTTTTTATAAGATGGAGCATACAAGGAAGAGCAGCATCAAATGCCGATATCCAGGGTGATGGGAGATGAAACAGCGTGGCCAAGTAAGTAGTTTCAGCCTTCAAGATGGAAAGAGAAGGCACAGAAGAACAGAGTTGCTTATGTATCACCAAAAAACTTAGTCTTTTAGACTTGGTTAGTCTTTTGCATGCTTTTGCATAATTAAAAACCCATGTGACAATTCAGTAGAGAAAAGGGCATTTTCAAAAGAGATTAATGGTGTGCTCAGAACTTGGAAGGAAATGATAGTAGTAGTGTTGCTCATAGACTTCACTTTATGTCCCTTCTTGCTCATTGTGGGAAGAGAAGATTCATTTGAATACTTTCCATACCTAATTTATTTCAGTGTTTTGTTCTGAACAAAATCAAGCAGAAAGATGGGTTATTTAATGCCTGTGAAATAAAACCAGCAAGGGAAACATGGAAATGGTGTTGGTTAGGGACAGTTTTCTTGCAAAGGTTCTCTCCATGGATGTCCTTATGGTTTAGGATTTGACCCATGCCTTTGGAGTGGGAGCACTGAAAAGCTTTTGGGAGGATTATTTTTACTGTTTTGGGAGGTGGTGGTGATCACTGCTTGAAACATTTCTCTAAACTGAACACTGATGCAAATGTCTTTCATCTGGTGTGGCTGTGGTCTCTTCTGCTGTGTTATTTGCTGAAGACTTACATATGTGGTGGTGGTGGGAAGAAGTGCTGTGGTTGGGTGGTTTGGCTCTACAGGATCTGCTGAAGTGGCATGGGGGAAGGAGAGGAGAGGTTCATACGTGGCTGTTCTATGATTCTGTGATTCACCAACTTGCTGTGAAGAGTCCTTGCCATGCAGTGATTGCTGTCATTTACGCTGAACTGGCAGAGAGAGATGTTGAGTTGCATCTCTCACATGTGGATGGAAAAGTTGATCAAACAATTGCCTCATATGCCAAAAGCACCCAACCTCAACCGAGCCGAAATAGAGCTCTGTGCCCAGAAAATCCCTTGTTCCACCTGCCCCAAGGGCTGTCCCAACACTATGCAAGATGTATCTATGTGGTGAGTGACACTTCTGCCCAGAGCTGGCGACAAGAGTTGCCTTAAGTTTTGTCAGGGGAAGCATACGTTGGATATTAGGAACAATTCATTCTCTGAAAGAGTGTTCTGGTCTTGGCACAGGCTGCCCACGGAGTGGGAAGGTCATCATCCCTGGAGGTGGTCCTGAACGGTGGAGATGGTCAGTGGGCATGGTGGCAGTGGCTTGGGGTTGGGCTTGGGGATCTTGGAGTGCTTTTCCAGCCTCCATGATTCTGTGATCTCCCACCTACCTGCATTTCTGTTGAGACGAGTGTGAAGAGTGAGATCTGACCTGACCCAAAGCTTTCAGGGCTGTTGTATCAAGCATCTGACCTGCAACGTTTGTAACCTAGAAGAGACCCAAAAGCTTCTTGCAGCCAGGTTCACATTGATGTGACTAAAATCTCACCCTCAGAGATGTCTGCTTTCTCCACCCAACCTCGACAGCCTCTAGAAAAGATGTGAGACATGACGATGCAATAGTATTAATGTGATTTTTCTTCCTGTCCGCAGTGGGAGCGCCTCTGGTTCCTGATCCTCACCTCATCCTTCTTCTTGACTCTGGTCTGGTTTTACTTCTGGTGGGAAGTTCACAATGACTACAATGAAATCAACTGGTGAGTAGTAGCAAATCTGCCCATTGTGCACCTCTAAGAGCTGCTTCAAACCGGGTTGGATGCATTTAGGTCCTTCTGATGGACTGCTTAATGACAGTCAATGGGGAGTGAGGCTGAGCGCTCCTCCTGCCTGCCTACATTGATGGTAGTAACACACCTCCCATCTCCATTTGTCTGCTGTGACAGAGCTTGGGGCAGGTGTTCTGCCTTGTAAACAGCTTGTGCAAACAAAGCAGAGCTGAAGTTGTCTAGAAGCCTTTTGTTTCTGTTGGTTTGTTTCTGTGGTCGGCTGTTTTCAGAAGCACTGAGCAATCTGGCTGAAACTTTCTGCAAAGTCCAAATAAAAAAGCATTCAGCCTGGAGCAGAAAAGGGTGTGGGAAATGGTGCAATGTTGGAAGAAGCTGTAAACAAGCTTTCCACTGGGATGTGCTGGGCAGTTTGGGGTACTGCCAGCTCCCCCCCAGTGCTGCAAGTCATCCTCCCTTCTACCATCCCAGCAGCATCCTAAAACATTTATACAGTACCTTGGGCTCTGCTTTAACCAAACTGCTTTGGCAACATCTTCTTGTCAAACATAATATTTCAACAGCATTTTAAAAACTTTTTATTTTATTTATTTCTTACGTAAACTGCCTGCTTGGGAGGCTGTGTGATGGAGAGTGTTTACTGACTTAATGTTGTGAGCTGTCTCCTCCCAGCAGAGTGTGCTTTTCTTGTTCAACTCAGACTCACACTCAACTGAAACTCATCACTGCCACTCTTGCTGTTTAGAGCAGGAGCATAAAGGAAATGCTTGATTCTTCATTTTCCAGGCTATTTTGCTCTCTCTTTCAGTTTACACCTTCAGAACAGGATGTGAATACTCCTGGTCTGCTAAAGACAAATCTGCCTTAGCCCAAAGTTGGGAAAGAGCTGTAAAATCATGCAGGAAAAAAAAAAATAAAAAAAAGCCCTGGGAACACTGTGAATACTCATTTGCAGCTGTGGTGCTGCAGGGATCTTTTTGTTTTTTGTTTTGTTTGCATTTTAGGAGGAAGTTTTTGAGACAGAGGGTGGTGAGGCACTGGCACAGGTTGCCCAAGGAGGCTGTGGATGCCCCATCCCTGCAGGCATTCAAGGCCAGGCTGGATGTGGCTCTGGGCAGCCTGGGCTGCTGGTTGGCGACCTGCACACAGCAGGGCTTGGAGCTGGATGAGCGCTGTGCTCCTTTGCAACCCAGGCCATTCTATCTTTCTATGATTTCCCTTTTTCATCTCTACATTTAGTTGCATTTTACTTTATATGTGTGCAATGTCAAAGCTCTGTACTGTAATGAAAAGCTCCGTCTTGCTCTTAGTGGGGGCTGTGTTTTGTAAACCTGGCTGCATTTCCTCTGGAGAAGGGCTACAAATGTGAGTCTCTGTAGAAATGTATTTTGTTTTCTTCCTTCGTTCTGGAGAAGACTCATCTGATTCATAACTACCATGGAAACAGCACTTGATGTGCAAATAACTGCTTTAAAATGAAGTCCAGAAGGTCACTTTGAAGAAGCATCAGAGCAAAATCCTGTGTGTACAGAAGCTGTGCTAAGGAAGTTGTTAGCGGTGCCATGAGCAAAGAATTCAGATAAACCCTCTTTTCTTCTTCTTCTTCTTCTTCTTTCTTCTTCTTCTTTTTGGAATCCTTGAGCAGAACGTGGATGTGGGCCAGGAGGTCATGGCAGCCAAGTGCTGCTCCAGGTCTTGTATTTCTACTGTGCCTGTGTGAGCAGGACTGCTCATCCACCTTCCCTGCAGGCATTCAAGGCCAGGATGGATGTGGCTCTGGGCAGCCTGGGCTGCTGGTTGGTGACCCCGCACATAGCAGGGGCTTGGAACTGAATGAGCATTGTGGCCCTTTTCAACACAGGCCATTTTATCATTCTATGATTCTATAGCCATTTTGTACTTTCTGTACCAGCACAAAGGTTGTTAACCCAAATGCAAGCCAACACAGTAATGCTGTGGTTTTTTTTCTTCCCAGAAATCCACTGGGAAATGTTTTAATTCAGATCAGACCTGAAGTTGCAAGAAGGGTTCTGGCATCTGACTGCCTCTCTTCTGGTGTAGTGGGATCTGGGTGCTTTGGGACCCAGATCTTGGGGGAGATCTCTGCTTGTTTTGATGTAAACAGGATTGGACATATGGTGGCCATAGACAGCGTTGGCACAGGAGATGGGTCTGTGGGCCTTGCAAGCACATTGCCTGCTGTAGCAAGAGATTTTGGTTCCAAAACAAACTTACAAAAGCATCTGATAAGAGGATTTTTTTTAAAGCATCTTTTACTCCTCCTGGCTGCCCAGGGAAGTGGGGGGTGGCACAGAAGGAAGTGTGCACATGCTGTGGTTGTGTTATCAGCTGTGCACAGGGAGAATTTTCAAAAGCCTTTGCAGCCAGAAATGGTGTTGGTGATACCAGCTTCCATCTGGGAGGCTGGGATGGAGAAGAGGAGATATCTTTGTTTAGGAGGATGTTGCTCCCTTGGGCTGTATTTCCTTCTGCATTTCTGGACAGTCTTTTAGGCTGGAGGAGGAACTTGACTGGGTTGATCTCATGTCCTACTGTGGCTTTGCTGTAAAGTGCTTTAACGACTTTCTAGTCCACCTCAATGATTTTTTTACTGGGAAGTGTATTGCTATTTAAATGCAAATTTGACATTTGAGACCCACTGGCAGACACAGGGGACTGTCTCTTACTGTGCTGCCACTGTGAATAATGGACTGCTTCACCTGGCGCTCCTGTTCATAAAGCTCTTGTTGCACTGTGGCTCCATGAAAGCAAAGCAGAGAGCCAGGCTGCTGAGCTGAGGCTGCCCTCTGTAATATAGAGCTGGGAAACCTGATGAATGTGATACGTGTGAGTGATGACCTAGACACATACTTGTCCAACTCATTAGTTTTATGCTTTTGCTGCCCTCTTTTTTATGTTTTAATAAATATATATGTATAAAATAAAAGAGTTTTGTTGTTCATACACATTAACTATATTTTGTATGTGATTCATAATGATCCCTCTTTGGTTCCTTTTGGCACGACTAGTGGGCACAGCAGATAGGGGTTGATGGTTGGACCAGATGATCCTAGAGGTCTTTTCCAGCCTTAATCAGTCTATGATTCTCTTCACTCAGTGCAGCCCAGCCAAGCCAACAGGTTGGACACCCATGGTAGAAGAACTAGAGAAGTTGGCTTGGGGATAAATGCTTTGGATATATATATGATGTGTCCACATCTCCCCCTGGAGAGGAGGAGGCTGACAGGGAGCTCGCCCCGGGCTGGGAGTCCCTGCAGGGAGATGGGAGAGAACAGAGCTCAGCACCAGTGCTGGTGGGGCTTGGAGACCTGAGCACAGCCTGGAGCCCAGGGGGCCTCCTAGGACCTCAGGCAGCACTTCTGTGCTGTGTGGTATCACTGGGACCAGAGTGGGACTGGGGGCTGCTCCCTGGGGAGCTCCTGAAGCTTCCTGGATGTGGTGCTGGGCACCCTGTTCTGGGCATCTCTGCTGGAGCTGCATTGGCCCTGAGGGACCCAGAAGTCCTTTCCAACCTTAACTAATCTGATGTCATCTGTATCTCAGTACTCTTCCAACTTTGCTTCAGTCCCTGCTCTGATCCTCCAGAGCATCAGGATGCTTCAGGTTGGATACTGGGAAAATTTTATTTTATTTTAATTCACTCTCAAAGAGTGATTAGGCACTGGAATGGGCTGCCCAGGAAGGTGGTGGAGTCACTGTCCTGGGAGCTGTTCAAGAAACGTTTAGATGTTGTACTGAGGGACATGGGTTAGCGGGGAAATATTGGTGGTAAGTGGATTGTTGGACTGGATCATCTTGGATGTCTTTCCCAACCTTGATGAGCCTATGATTGCTGCTGCTTCTTGCCAAGGTTGGATCACAGAGGCATTGAACGGCCCATCTCTTACAGTTCCAAGGTGTGTGGCAGGACTGGAACAAGGGAATTCACTACGTCAGAAAGTCTACAGGCATCCTTCAGGCTGAGCAAACAGACCCTTTGGTTGGGTGAAGAAGATCAGAAGAATGCAGTTTCTCAAACCAGACCCCTTTTGGGAAACCCTGAGGCCAATTTCTGTCTCCACTCTTGCAGGAATCGTAGAATCACAAAATATCCTGAGTTGGAAGGAATCCATAAGGATCACCAAGTCAAACCCCCGGCCCCACAGAGCCCCCAAACCCAACCTTGTATCAGTTTCCCAGTGTGAGCTCTGGCAGCTCAGGGCCGTGCCCACTGCCCTGGGAGCTCTGCCATGCCCACTGCCCAATGGGGCAGAACCTTTTCCTGGTATCCAACCTGAACCTCCCCTGTCACATCTGCATGTGTTTCCTTTGGGTTAAATTGGGCATTCTTTCCGCACCACTGGAATAAGAGACACTGTCTATGATGTGTACAATTTTTTTCCATCATCTTGTCCCTTGCAAATGAGTTTGCACGTTGAGTGCACGACACAGTTATGCACAGCTACGTTTGTTTTCTTCCCCTGTCCTTGATGTGATCCCTGTATTGCATTTATTACTATATGAACACATGGGACAACTTAGGCAACTCTTCTCTTGTTCATAGGGAATATTCTTCTGAAAACTCAAGCCCTCCTCATGTCAAATTGGTGGTTTTTCTTTTCCAAAGTAATGTTGTTGCTGTGTTTGACATAATTGTCTGATTCCTCTTTGCAGAGTTAATTTCCCTTGAGGGATCAAAGCACAGACCCGGGGTTTTGTTTCAGAGTGGTTTGTGCTTTTTGCTGCCTATCTCTCATCTGTACAGTGGAAGCAGAAAGGCCCGTTTTCTAAAGCTCTGTCTCACCATGCTGGAGTTGCTATGGTGTTGAATTCCTTAATCTCTATTTCATACTTACCTTTCAGGTTTTTATATAACCGAATGGGATATTGGAGTGACTGGTCTATTCCAATACTTGTAACAACTGCTGCTGGCTTTACGTACATTACAGTGTTATTGGTGAGTATAACAGAAATGTCATTTGCCCAAGGTTTGTGCATCATTTTCTTTTTAAAGGGCATGAATTTCTCACTCTTCCCATAACCTGAGCAATTTTCCTTTCAGAAGCGATTTTTTTTCTCTTTCATGGCTTTAAGTGGCCTGAAATAAATAGAAAGTGAAAAACGTGTGGTCCTCAGCCTCAGATGATACAGTGCAAATATGAACACCCTGATGCTGGAGATGCATTTGGCTTAAGGAGAAAAACAATTCTTGCTTCCTTTAGTATGACAAAGTCCAACTTTGGTGTGTCAATGAAACCCAAGAGCAAGTTTTTTCCGCTAGTGTGATGAAGTTCCATGTTTAATGGGGTGCCCATGCAGGCAGCAAGCCAGTATCTTGCCCACAGAATCATTTGAGCTGGAAGTTGGAAAGGTCATGTAGTCCAACTTCCCTGCAGTGAAGCCATATAGGGTTCCCAGGAACTGTGCACCTACGGACCACACTCTCCAACTCTCTGCCTCTTGGAGGGCAAAGTCTCTTCTTCCACATTCCCGGCTTTCAAGTGGATCAAGGGGAAATGGTTTGAAGTTGAGGGAGGGCAGATTGAGGTTGGATGTCAGGGGGAAGTTGTTTAGAGAGAGAGTGGTGAGGTGCTGGAACAGCTGCCCAGAGAGGCTGTGATGCCCCGTCCATCCCTGCAGGTGTTCAAGGCCAGGTTGGATGGGGCCCTGGGCAGCCTGGGCTGCTATGAAATGGGGAGGTTGGTGGCTCTGCCTGCAGCAGAGGAGTTAGAGCTTCATGGTCCTTGAGGTTCCTTCCAACCCAGGCCATTCTGTGATACTCTGACCATCCCCATTCTGATGGGATGCTCTTTTTGGTTTTCTTGCGGCTGGTGGTTGTATTCCTATACGTGCAAACACTTAAAGGTCATGATGTGCCATTGTTTGACTCTTGTTTTCTTCTTTACAGATACTAGCACTATGTCACATAGCTGTGGGACAGCAAATGAACCTACACTGGCTTCACAAGGTAAACAGCTCTTTTCAGCTTGGGGGAAGGGAGCAGGGGTTTTAATTAAACATGAGGTGAGGGAGTGGATGCTGCATGGGATGCTCACTGTCCTGGAGCTTGGGGGAAGAGCATAGACTTTACATGTTGGTGGTGCTTGAGTTCTCATCTCGTAGGATTGAGCAAATTAGCAGTAATGGCAATCAAAGCCTGGGAACAAAGACTTCACTCAGTGCTTGGTGAACTGCTTCAGGGTCCCTGCTGACAGAGGATGAACACCTGGAGTGAAAACCTCTGTTTCGTGAGAGCAACCTGACCTTGGTCTCAGCTCAGTGTGGTACTCTGTTATGAACCTCTCTCACGTTGCTCTGTGCTGAGCCCAGCCCTGTGGGAGAGGCTGAGCAGATGTGAAGCTGTTCGGGATGTGGTTGAAGTCAGTGTTGGGGGAGAAGCCCTGGGAGAATGTGTGCACCCCCAGCTTTACACTGACACTGTAGAGGCTGGGGTTTGCTCAAGTCCCAAGAGGCCTTGATTTGCACGTAAAGCAGCTTGAGTAAGATTTCTGTGAAACACAAGAGAAGATGCAGACCCGATGTTTGGAGTACAGAAGGGGAGAGGAAGGGTAGCAGAGACAGTGCCAAAGCAAATGGCTTGGCGGCATGATATTTTAACTGGCAATTTGCTAATAGGTAATTAAGGGACCAGTCCTGTGCGTGCCAATGCGCCTCCTGAAGGCAGAGCACAGACCTCCCCTCCCCCTCAGTTTCCTTTTTCTAGAAGTGATAGAATTGGTTCTTCCTCAAGGTGAGAAGATGCAACGTAAAGAGGGGGAGGAGGCCGTTTGACTGCTGCTGGAAAATAAGTTGTTGATCCTTGAGTCTAACATATGTTTCTTCACTGGGGGAGATGGTATTTTCAGATGCGCTCCAGGTGGTTGGTGGGTTTGGATGAGTAAGTCCTGAAGAGGGATGTGTTGGAGATCAGTCAGTTCTCCTTGCCTACAGAAACTCACCCTGCCTCCCTTCTTGCAAGAAAAGCCCACCGCCACTCAGACACATTGCTCTGTCTCTCTCTGCCCTTCCCCACATCTCCTTTCTAGGAAGGGGGAGATAAGAGGCTGAAATAAGTTAATGTGCTCTCTGCAACCATCCTGAGTTGCCTTCAAGTATGGATTAAAGCACATGAAAAGACTGATACGGGCAAACAGCACTGTTTCTTTCAGCTTTCTCATTAAAATGGTGCTACTTGTTCCTATGGAGAGGTGGGGGTGACTAAACTAGAGGACGAATCCTGTCCTTGTGTGCAGATGTTGGGAATGTGGAGTTTTTTGTTTGTCTGAGATATTAAGAAAATGTGAAGTCAGTCTAGAGAGATCCAGGGCATCCTAGATGACTAATTAATAGCTAAGTATCAGCTTGTCTCCTGGACTGATTTCAGGTGCAGACAGTACATAAGATCAAGACAGCAGCAGCATCCTTTGAATCCAGCAGGCATGCAGCACAGCAGAAGCTGAGATAGCAGACAGAGAGGCGGAGGATGGCAAACTGTTTTTTGATAGACAGCCCACGTGTAGTCTGTCAGATCTTTAAAACTGAAGTTATTTCTATGGCAGGTTTTGATGGTAGGAACTTTTTACCTTCGAAGTGGAGGTGACACTTCCTTTTTGACTGCTCCACTCAAGCTTCTGAGTGCTTCTACTTGGAGATGGAGGGTGGGCTGGGGGAGGTGGCTGATGGACTGGGTCTCATCCTGCTCAGCCAATGTGTCACCTAGATCCTCTTCTCGTGCTACAATACCTGTTTTCACTGCTCTGTGAACACAGTTTGAATGCTGGCCATGCAGCTGTTCCATTTCAAACCCAAGTGCAGTCATATCTATGGACAAAGCTGTGCTGATCTCAGAGATGACTGCTTAGCAATGGGGATACACATATATTCACCCTCTACTGAAGGGCAATTTCACCATCTGTTGGGCTCATCTAAGGTTTTTATCTAAAGAGAATGATGGAGAGGCAGGGTGGGTGAAGCTCACCAACCTACCACAATGCATTGCAGAAGGGCCACGAGTTTCTGGGATCGTTGCTTGAAGCTGCATGGCAGAACTCAATCACTATTCAACTATTTGTTGGCAGGGCAAATCACCTGATCCTTCCACACAGTTGACCTCTGTGTGAAGAAAGTGGGACTTGAGCCATCTGTGAGACGTGTCCTACTGAGCCCTGTGCTGTATCCCAAATGGTGGGGAAGTGGAGATTATGCTGGGACAGCACACAAACCCAACCTCTCTCCTTCTGAGTCCTAAGGCTGGTTGTTTTAGACCACTTATTACATACACAAGCTTTTTTTCCTCTCCATTTCCCAATCTGTAGAGACTGTTTTAACAACAATACAAAGGTTCCACTCTGTTCACTGCAGATTGGCCTGATGACGACCTTGATAACCACCGTGGTGACAATGTCATCGATAGCACAGCTCTGGGACGACGAATGGGAGATGGTATTTATCTCACTGCAGGTAAGTTCTCTATGGGCCTGCTTCCCTCTGTGGGCGAAGAAGCAGTCATTCTGTTTCCATATCTTGGGCTCTTTCCTTCGAACTCAGCGCCTATGAAAGGCTTGAGAGGTTCTACTGTTGACTACTGCTGAATGTTTGGTAATACACAAATCTGGGGAGAAAAAAATAGCATTCATGCAAGTGACTAATATTTCTCAGAAGTGCTTCCGTTTTCCCTGCTTTCTGAAGATATAGGCAGATGCTGGAGGACAGAAGCATGACTCAGAGGAACTGTCTCAAACCTTCTCTCCTGGTGTTGCATCATGGTGATGTCCAGTCCAGTGTGCTCAACTGGACTACAGGAAGAGTCTCAGTGGCACCAAGAGCCTTGCCTAAAATTGCATGGTATCTAAGGAGGCCTTTATCAAATATGTGTTACTGGAAGGGGGTTAGAGGTTTCTTGCTTTCCTTTCATAGTGGTCTGAGTGCCAAGGGTAGCAGTAGGGTTTAGCAAAGCGGGCCAAAGCAGAGGCAGGAGCCTGAAGCAGGAATGCCGTGAAATTCAACTCGAAATGGAATCACCAAATGCGCTATGGAGCCCACAAGATGAATCAACTTGGAGGATGCTGGGGTGTTTAATCACTTTTTCTCTCCTGTTCTTGTGTCCTACAGGCCACAGCCCCTTTCTTGCACATAGGAGCACTTGCAGCAGTCACAGCCTTGTCATGGTTGATAGCGGGGCAGTTTGCACGAATGGAGAAAGCCAGTGAGTACCAATTGGACATCTCCTTTCTTGCCCTATGGAGCACTTGTGGGGAGGGCAGGGGCTGCAGGTTGGGTCCTCCCAGCAGAAGTCAGGACTGAGCCCTTCGTGCTCCTTCATGGGGATGTGGAGGCTCAGCTGTTCTAAGGAGGTGGAATGTTCTCCTGTCAAAACCTGGCTGGAAGGGGAGCTTCTGGGCTCTGGATACACCCAGATCCCATGGATGATGCTTTGTTGTTGGAACCACAGCAGGGCTGGAGGTGAAAGGGCTGTTTTCAGTGATGTAGTAAATAGAAGCATCTAAACTTCCTCTAATCTGCAATAGAAAGTTGCATCCTCCACAGCTAACACACAGTGTTCTTCTCTTATAAGCACTTTGCCTTTACCCCAACAACTTGGGTCTTGTTCACATGCATTTCTAGGTGGACCTGTCTCTTCAATGCCTTCCTGGAGTTGTTGCTTGTGATACATTAGAGGGCTCAGCAGGGATCTGACCTTAGATGCTTCCAAACGCACACTGAGACATGGTCAAAGATGTCTAAGGGAATAGAGAAGTGAAAAACACACATAACCCAGCCTGATGGCTGGCAACCCTCCACATAGCAGGGAGTTTGAAACGAGATGATCATTGTGGTCCTTTTCAACCCATTCTATGATTCTGTGGTCCTATCCACTGAAACACATTGTGTGCATCTCATGGCCATGGGTTCTCCCAAGTCCAAGCTTTGTGTTTTCTTGAAAAATAATGTGCTCCTTCTGTACCCTCAGTTGCATTTTTCCTAAGGGTGTCCATGGATGTCTTCAGATATCCGTGCCAGTTTCAGAGCAATGATTTTAATTGTTATTTAACCTGCAGCAAGATGGGAGCCCTGGAAGGATTTGGCAACACTTGTGAAAGACTTCTGAGAAGAGAGTGCCAAGCATGAGGAAGGTGGTGGCTGGAGATTGAAAGATTTTGATATCCAGAGAGACCTCCAAAGAAAGAATTGCTCTGCCTTAATGTATAAATATGCCAAAGAAAAGTGTACCTGGTTCTTCTTAAGTATGTCCTAGCATGTAATTAGGCTGCCAGCTGGGGGAGGATTTGTGGTAATGCCTAGCGCAGGGTCTGCATGGCCTCCTTCTGAATTCACAGCTTTTCTCTTGCAGTTGCTTTTTCTGATTTTTTTGGTTCTAATTTATTTTTAATACAAGTTCAGGAAGCTGTTTCCCTTTTCTTTTTCTGCTCCTGATGTTTTTTTATTACTATTATTTTAAAAAGGAAAGATGCTCATCTTTTCTGTATCATTGGATCTTCATGAGGTATTTCAGGGTCAGTTTACTTGTTCAAAGTGTCTCACCTGGAGGAGTTCATGTACTTCTTGGTGCAGATATTGTTGACACGGCACTGTAAATTCTTTTTTGTTGCTCTTCAGTTTAGTTTTTCTTTTTAAAAAATGAAATCTCTGTGAGAACATACAGTCCCTTACGATGGGAAAATTGTATGCCACTCAATAATAGTAGTCTTTTGGAAATAACTGGTGTACCTGTAGTCATTGCTCCAACGGTACGTTCTTGTTCTTTCTTTGATGCATCTGATACTTTTCAGTACCTGCCTTTTTTTTTTTTCCTGAGTAAATTGGCACTTTCTTTAATCTCCTATGCTCTGTTTTCCAGACCTGCAGAATAGAAGTTTTTTGAATAGAATTAATTTAGAAAAACAGTATCTTGTATTCAAAGCCTGTTTCTGAGGTCAGATAGAAAACAGTGAGCTCAGAGCAGCCCTGGAAGCCTTGAGTAGCAAGGGAGAATATGAGAAACATGCCCTGAGAGCTCAGATCTCTTTGGTGTGGTCAATAAGAACTGGAGGAATGGAAGACAAAGGTTGCATCTGAAAGTTGTATTGGTCCTTCCACGTTGCTCAAAGAGGGAAATTTGTCCTGTTTGCTTAGCTTGGGGGGTCACCAGGAGACCTCCTGCCAAACAGACCATCCAACTGCAAACCTGACAGCATGAACTTTGCTTGTATTTTTCATTCTTGTATTTTCTTTTTTCTTTTTTCTTCTTTGCATCTTCCCAGTTGCCCTGTATGCATGGCTAGGTGTAGTTTTCCAATCCATTTTAACACGGTCCATGACCCATGTGTTGAGGCATCCTTTCCTTGTAGGTGCAGACCACTAACCAAATTACATTTCAAGCTTATTTTCTGTATCTGCTTAGTCCCTAGAAGCCTGATCAGTGATGTTTATAGAGTAAATGAGCATTGGGCTGGGATCACCTTCCAACCAATTGTGGTTTTGATGCCAAATAATACACAACATCATGACACCATACCTTTGTGGTGCAGGACATAGCATGGAAGCCCTTGAGTGCTTTATGGGTAACTGACAACTCTTCCAGAGAGAGGAGGAATTATCTGTCTGGAGGAGAGCTACAAGATGTGGTTTGGTATCTTGCAGTAGCAATGGTGATGGGAGGACGGTTGGATTAGATGATCTTGCAGGTCGTTTCCAACCTTGTGATTCTATGATCCTATAAACTGGAAAAGTTACTAGTGTTACTTTCTGGCACTTGAATGAGCCTGTTGGATGCTGGATTGAAAAAGCATGAAACCAGATCAGTAGTGGCCAAAACCATAGCTGGACTGTTGTGACCTTCCTTTAAAATTTGCTTTCTCCGTCTTGCATTTATTGCAAATATTTGCCTTGTGAGTTCCAAGGCTACCTCACTCAGGACTTCTATCATTCTACGACTTGACTAGATCCAGCAGATTTAATAGAATGCTTTTTCCTAAGCAGGGACATCTGCTGTTGTGCTACGGGCAATGGCTGTAGTGCAGCCTCTGCTCTGAAGGAGGAGGAAGGTCACTTGACTTCTGCCCTGCGGTAGGAGGACTTTGACCAACATTTTCACCATCTTTCTCTGTTTCCACCCCCAGCTTCTCAGATGCTGATGATCACTGCATACCTCGCGGTCGTAGTTGCACTTTACCTCGTCCCCCTCACCATCTCATCCCCTTGCATAATGGAGAAGAAGGCTCTGGGACCAAAGCCAGCCATCATAGGTCACCGTGGGGCACCGATGGTGAGTAGCTTCACATTCAGTGCTGTGGTGTCCAACTCTTCTGCCTGCCTATGGGATAGTGCTGGGTGTAATGATCTCCAGGTTGCTCTCTGGAGAATATATATATGACAGATGGTTTGGAGTCTGCATCCTTTGCAAGACTTCACCAGTAGTGATTAACCTCAGCTCACAGCAAGATGCCTTGAATATGTGGCAATCCACAAAAACAGACAAAAAAGCTGTGCTTGAGCCTACATGGCTGCACTGTAATCCTTCATTGCAGATCGTCGTGAGACAGAGCAAGGTGATGAAACATTCCTGTCATCTGTCTCTGGGTAGACCTTGAAATCATAGTGAGTTTCTGTATGTGTCCAGACTAAAAATGGGACTTGATTTGGTCACAGCTCTGGTGTAGGTAATGGCGCCCTGTTGTATTTGGATACACTGGTCTGAATCTACAGTCTGGGTGCTTTTGGATCTGTTTCACAGATGTACCTCCATCTCACCCATGGTTGGTTAATCGACCTTGTAACTAGATGGCACACTGCGGTGTAGACACTGGCCTTGGAAATGTGTTTTTTTAGACACCCAGCTAACATTTTTGCTTACATTCAAAGAAGAAAAATTTCTGTAGGTTGTCAAAATGTATTTGTCAGGCTGGAGTGTGCTTGAGCTCTTCTCCAAGTGCAAGTGTGAGCTCTAATAGAGATTAACGCCTACTACAACCCTGTAGTATTTTGTTTCAGTTCTCTTTCTTTTTAATTATTCATTTCTTTAAGAAATCCCTTGACACACCAGCTCAATTTGTATTGCTCTTTTAACTAGATTGCCTCTGTGAATGATGGAATGAAGTTCTGGGCATTACAAATGCTTTTTACTGTTCCACAGAGTTTTTACCAGCCTTGAAGGCCAGAAGGAACTGTGTGAGATCTTAGTCCTGCGCAGCAGGAAACCACAAAGATCTGTTATAAGTCTTCATCCCTGTAGAGTTTTTAGATCCTGTCCCCAAAGAGGAAAACAGGCTTCTCAGGGGAGTGATGGAATCACCATCCCTGGAGGTGTTCCAGAACTCTGGAGATGAGGCACTGGGGAACACGGTCAGTGTGGATGGTGGGGGTGGGTCAGTGGTTGGACTTGGGCATCTTAGAATTGTGGGCCAAGAGCTGTTTAGCACAGTTCTTCCCTTCATCATTTCCCTGATAGAATGAGCTGGCTTGCTGTCACTAGAGTGGAGCAGAAGGGGACAATCCCTTCCCTGTCCTCTGCCACCCCTCTGTTGGTGCAGCCCAGGGGACTGCTGCCCTTCTGGGCTGTGACCACGCACTGCTGGCTCATGTCCCTCTTTCTGACCATCAGGAGCCCCACATCCTTCTCTGCAGGGCTGCTCTCAAGGTATTCCTCTCCCAGTCTGTACTCAAGTCTGGTTTTGCCCAGCTTTCACTATATAAAATCGTAGAAATATTAAGATTGGAAAAGACCACTAAGATCACCAAGTTCCAACCCCAGACCACCCCACCATGCCCACTGACCGTGTCCCTCAGTGCCACATCTCCACAGTTCTGGAACAATTCCAGGGACAGTGACTCCACCACTTTCCTGAGCAACCTGCTCCAATTAATGATATCCTGGAGTCTGGAAAACTTCATCTAACATATAGTGCAAGTCCTAAGGTTGTGCAATGTCAAGTATGTTTGAACAGTCATGATTTTGAAGCCTTGCCAAAAGGCATTTCTGGTGATAGGATCGTGTTTTCTCAGGGCTACTTAGTACACTTCTGCTCTGGAACCCAATTGTATGTACGTTTAATTTGGAGAGATGGAGCCTAGCGGAGCTGGAGAGAAGGAAACAGCTGGAGAAGAGTGTGGAGACCAGGCTGTAGGACACAGACATCCTCCCTTGAGCAGTACCCAGATCAAAAGTCTTCAGAGCCTGGGAGTTTGGATCCTGAGGTGATGCTGGATCTGTGGGGCTGGAGATGATAAATAGCACTGCAAGGTTTCTTTCAGATCTCCTGAAGCAAGACAAATGTGATTTGTGAGCTGTGCAGACAAGCAGGCTCTCTGGTGGAGCCCAACAGCTGCTTGTTTCACCAGTCTGGCAGGATTGGGTCTGTAATGCTGCTTTTACATGACCCATGTTCTTATGCTAGAAAGATAGAAATAGCTTAGAGCTGTTCTGATGACAACCAGCACAGAAGATCTATGAGATGAAGATGCTTGCTGTCCTGAGATAAAAGATTTATTGGGGTGATAGCATGGTTTTTAAGACCAAAAAAAATGGTGAAATCAAGCCTTTTCTTGGAAAAATCCATGTGTGAGTTCTTCTTGAGGGATGCATGACCCAATACACTGATTCACCCAGCATGCTGAGGTGGACTGCTGTTCATACGATGAGGAGCATACAATGCATACAATGAACTTCCCCTGTGCTTTACAACCTGCTGTCCTCCATGCATGCACCCAGCCTATCTCCCTTCTCTCATTCCTGTAGAATATCTGAGAGCATCCTTTGCAGCATTTGAGTGCAACTCAACTGCTGTCCTTCTTCTGTGGAGGGAAAAAATGAGGAACAGAGGCCAAAGTGGCTCACGTAATTTGTCTTAAAATGCTGGTGGAGGAGTGTGTCCTTGCATTCTAAGCAGAAAGAGAAGAAAAATTGGGAAGTATCTAGGCATCAGTACCTAGATGAGGCACAGCTCTTTGCAGTACAGGTGACCTACTGTCTCCACAGTGGCTGTCAGTCTGTAATGGTGGTAATGCTCCTTCAAGAGGTATCTCTTTGGTGTCATCCTTTTCTGCTCTTTAATTCATCTCTGGAAGCTCTCTTCTGCGTAATTCCTCCTTTCCCTAGCCTAAATATCATCCAGCCGTGTCCATTTCTCATTGTGCTAAATGTCTTGTCCTATTAGGGTGCTATCTAAAAACCCCTTCTCTAAATTAATCAATTGGTTTCTTTTCAAAGGCTTTTTTTGAGTTAACTGTTCAGCGTTTTTCTTTCCATCTGGACTCCCAGGAGAGCACTGGTGTAATAGCAGCAGTGTAAGAGGCTTTGAGGGCACCAGACGTTGATGTCTGTCACTTTGAAGGGCTGTTGTGCTGGTGGATATGAGAGTCATTTGACACCCTAAAACAGGAGATGGGGTCTCTGAAACTGCTGCATGTTAATCTAGCTTGATGGCATTACAAGCAGGTGCCCTTGGTCTCCATCCTTTTTATTCTGTTTTCAGCAATCTGGTTGCATTCTGTCTTCAATGCCAATAGATTTGAGTCCTTGTGACTTTTACACTGAAGATAAACCAAAACACTGAAGATACACTCTTTGAAGAGACAAAGCTTTACCAAATCTGAAGTAAAAATGAATAATTTAATCCAATTAGACACAAGTTTCAATCACCATTTGCTTCTTTAAAGTCTTCTCCCAGATGCTTTCCCTTGTGGGGTGCTTAGAGCTGAAACAAGGTGTGTTTTGGTTTGAGATTTGAAGAAGGTGCTCTCCATGATATTGAGTTCTGCTTGCTTTTGGTTTTACCCTTAGTATACGTTCCTTATGAGAAACATTTGACCACAGATTGCAGGTAAAGCACCCAAAGAATCATTGAATCATAGAGTGGCTTGGTTTGTATCATGAAGGATCATGAAGCTCCAGCCTAAATGAACCCAAAGAACTTGGGGTATTCAATATTTCAGCTTTAGGAAATGCACTGAACCTAAAAATTCACCTCCTGTTACTGGGACCAGAAAGGTACTGGTGGTTCTTAAAATAAATAAATAATAGAAATAAAAAACAATAAACAAAAAACCCCGCAGGGCTAAAGCTGTGGAACCAATCCCAGCATGCCAGAGACGAGAACGGCTCCTAATTTCAGAGCTGGAGGCTACAAATAGTACTGAAATGAACATTTTGGCAACCCACCCAGACAGCTGGCTCTCAGCGTGTTGCAACAGCACCGTCCCAACATCTGGCTGTGTGTCACAGAGCACACGGGGCTTGCATGCTGTTGAGCTCTCCTTGGCAGGCAGCAGCTGCCTCCACGCCACGCACAGGCACTGTGCAGGGAAGGGCGTTTTTGGCACTGCTGACTCATGGGCTCTGCACAAGTTTGGGGTGGAAAAGTACCCATTAGTGGGATGAAGCACTTTGTGGAGCTGGTGTTTGAGTCATCGTCCCTCGAGGTGTTCAAGAACACGAAAACATTGTTTAGATGTTGTACTAAGGGATGTGGCTTAGTGAGGAAGTATTGGTGATAGGTGAACGGGTGGACTGGATGATCTTGGAGGCCTTTTCCAACCTCGGTGGTTCTGTGATCATGATTTGCCTTTTGAGATGTTAAAAGGGAATGTTTTGCCCTGGCAGGGAGCACGTGGCTTTGTTTTCAGGAGAATTCCAGCAATATATACATGTGGAGCTGTGGTTTCTGTTGCTTTTTCTTTTTTTAACATACCTGTAGGTGAAGATCATAGAATGATAGAATGGCCTGGGCTGCAAAGGAGCACAGCGCTCATCCAGCTCCAAGCCCTGCTGTGTGCAGGTCGCCAACCAGCAGCCCAGGCTGCCCAGAGCCACATCCAGCCTGGCCTTGAATGCCTGCAGGGATGGGGCATCCACAGCCTCCTTGGGCAACCTGTGCCAGTGTGTAAAGATTCTGACATACACTGGCAATTCTGAGATGGTGTTTTGCCATCTTGTAATGCCAACTATTGATAAAACCAGTAGTGAAGACTTCTGGTTGGGACTGCGGCTTATTGGAGAGCCTTCAGCTAGTGAAAACCTGGTGACTTCTCTCTGTTACGTTTTGTTCACTCCTAACTGTTAAAGATATGGCCAGGCGACCAGTCCAGAGGTCCAATTTATAGCAGCAAACAGAACTCACATCTTCTATCAGACCTGGAGAGGAGCTTGTATTCACTGGAACCAGTCTATACAAAGGCATTCTTTAATTAAATCAGGGTTTGGCTTCTGCATGTGATACACCAAAACTAAGATCTCACATGCTTTCTCATTAAATCTCTCATGGTTTTTTGCTTAAAATTCTACCCTGCTCTCCAAGGCAATATTATTGCTTTGCACCTTTTCACTTCTTTTCAGTCTAGTAGAGCATTTTCTAGAAATGTTAGATGCAGGTGCTCTGTAAAATACCTTGAATTACTGAGGATTAAAGATGCTTTTTTTAAAAAAGCAGTGTTGTTAGTGCCTCATAGGGGCATAGTGGGACCTTAATAATGAAAGTAAAAGTACTGGCAGATCCCAGCCACAAAGAGAACATGCAAAAATCTTCTCATGGAAGGAAAACTCCAATTCTCAGGTATTGCCCTCACCACTCCTTGTGCTTTGAGTCCAGTTACTGGCTCACAAGGAGACAACAGGGAAGGGAGAACTAAACCCAAATTTTTAAATGATGCTTATGGACGGGAAAAAAAATCCTTAAAACTTGTTGTGACTGCAATTAGGGGTTGGAACAAATTTGCTTCTTCTGTTCAGGCTTCATCATTAGCCTCCCTAACATGCAAATGATGCAATGATGCAGTGTTAATTAGAAGGAAAGCAGTGTATGATGTCCAGCTGGCTGTACACTTTCACAATATTCATTAAGGAAGGTCCAGAGCTCTTGACTTCAGTGCTCCTTTTGAAAGTATTTGCTTCTGAGCACAGAAATAGTCAAAATGAGTTCATTCTTGGGCAATTTTCTAGTAATTACTTGCTGTGTCTTCACCCACAGGAGAAATCTGAATGGCAGGCTGATTCTTGCAGGGGTTTGAAGCTATCAAACCAAGGGCAGAGGAGGAACAGCTTTAAGAAACTGCACAGGGGGCTGTCTGTGGCCTTCAGTGGAAGTTGGCATAGTTGGCGGAATAGATTTGGAGGTCATTGCTTCCTTCATCACAACGCTGACTTCTTAATCAACAGATTGTGTCCAGTTGCATTGGGTTGCTGCAAACCCAGATTTGGGATTTAGATATAATTTGCTTGATGGCATTGTGTTAAGGAGGAAAGTCATCAGATAAAGTGGGCAGAGACAGAGGGGAACACAAGCAGGATTATGTATTTATTTAGTTATTGCAGTTTTGCTGTAGAACAGTAAGCATGCAACTTTTGCACCAACTGTTGTCCTCCTCAGACACATCTCTGCATGTCACAGTCAGAATCTGGGGTTTTCAGCTCCATCTCTCCTGGAGAGACACAGGCAGGGACAGTGCAGACATCTGTTACTCTGATTTTCCCTATTCACAAGCTCACACTGTACAGAGAGGTCCTGTTTCCAGTACCAGAGGAACTTGGGGGTTAGAGCTTGATGATCCTTGAGGTCCCTTCCAACCCAAGCCATCCTATGATTCTATGAACAAGCAATATTTGATTTTAGGGGACAGATTTAAGTTTGCCTTCTTGGCTTCTAGTTGAACTCTACTGGGTTGTGTCATTGGTGTGAGTAGCCCATTTGGTCTCCTTGAGGCTAGAATCAGCTGAAAAGGTTAGAAGGACCACAAGGACAGCTTTCCACATCAATGATGGACTCATTTGGAGATGCAGTTACTTAAACTGATGGGACATCAGTTGTGGGGCACAGCACTGCAGAGAACACCTCTGCTGACGTCTGTGCTGCTTGCTGGTTCAGGGCAGCCAGGGATGTTCTCCCATCTGTGATGCTCTGCAGGGTGATGCTCTTCACTTCTAGTGGTTGTGATTAAGATGACGTTACAGCTCCTAAGAGTGCATTTTGATGGTCGGAACTGAAGTGTCAATCTGTTTTTGGAACAGCTAAAATAGCAACATAGAATCATAGAACATCCTGAGTTGGAAGGGACCCATGAGGATCATCGAGTCCAACTCCAGCATAGACCTGCATGGAGTTCTCTGAGTTTAACTTGTTAGTTCCTGGAGATTGAGTTCCTTGGAAAGGAATAGAGGTGCCTCCTATCTATCCCCTGCATGCCACTCTGATGGGGTTCAGTTTTGTCCCTGACGAGCAAAGCTTGGCCTGCAACCTGTGTAGGGACTGAGGATGATGCAGGAGTGAAATATTCCACTCCTGGGACTGGGATCTCGTCTCAGTTGGGGTTAGGCTCAGTGATATCTCTTAGTGCATTGTGTTCTGAAACAGCACTGCCACTGCTATGTATGAGCATCCCTGCTGTCTTTATATGACAGTCTGAAATCCTGAAATCCCACCTCCAGAAGACTGTTTTCCAATGCGGCTTTCATTTTTTACCTCTGTGTGCAGTCTTGGCTCTGTCTAAACTCACTTCTCCCCAGCCTAGCTGATGGAGGAGACTTTGGCCACCCTTCCCCACCCTTACAGAGGGATACTGCTGTTCTGGCCATCAGCTTTTAGCCCTGCTTCACGCAATGTGGGCTTTTAATTGCACAGGTGGGTAACAGCAGTGCCCTTCATCTTTGTCCTATCCTTGGTGAAGCGTTTTACATCGATTGCTTAGTGGAGGCAGTCCAGCCTGCCTTTTCCAGTCTTCCTTCGCCCAAGAGATGATTTACAACTCAGCACATTTTGTTTTCTATTTCTGGCACATTTGCATCCCTGGTGAGGCTGCTTATAGGGACACGGGTTCGGTTGCAGCGTGGTGTCACCTCTTGAGCTGGGACTTGTGCTGCATCCAGCCACCAACCCTTCCTGGCTTGGTCTGGTGGTCTTGCATCGCCTTTGAGTTTCCAGTCTCTGGTTTAAACACTACCTGCTTTATTTCCTTGCAACCCCTGCAGCCTCTGAAAGCAAATATTGAGCGCTGCCCAGCACCGAGTAGTGGATCGCCTTGCAGTGCTCACCCCGAGGAAACCTGAGCTACTTGGAGAAGAAACTCGAGATGCTGGAAGCTGAGGAGCTGAGGTTGGGATCCTTGTGGGGCTGCTGCTCCCTGGTGACAGCTCTGGGCATCGTGCATCTCTTGCAAAAAGCTCTTTTCATCTGACCTTGTGTGAACCAGCGCAGGGCTGGGCGAGGGGATGTGGTGGGATGTTGGTTCCTGCCTAGAAAAGCCAGGCATTGACTGGGAGCTTTTTTATGGGAAGATGATGCACCTCAGTGTTGATTTTGTTAAATGAACAGAAAAATGTACTGATATTGGTGTGTGATTTGAGCCAGAGGCATTCAGTGCAGACGTTCTGTACCTGTACCGAGGTTGTGTTGCTGCCATTTCTGAACAGTATTTGCTTGGGTTATTTTGCCCCAGAGCTTGTCAACCTGAGTGTTTAAATCAATCAGTTAATAAGAAAATGAAGGTGCCTTCAAGATCATAGAATCATAGAATCACAGAATGGTTTGGGTTGAAGGGACCTCAGGGATCACGAAGCTCCAACCCCCCACCAATGCAGGGCCACCAACCTCCCCATTTCACAGCAGCCCAGGCTGCCCAGGGCCCCATCCAAGCTGGCCTTGAACACCTCCAGGGATGGACGGGGCATCACAGCCTCTCTGGGCAGATGCCTTAAATATGAAAGTTTACTGTGCGTGTTGGTTGCACAGTGCCTTTAGGTCTTTGTTCTTAAAGTTATCCTCTTCCCAATTGCTAAGCGACCGTTAAAGATCACGGCTTGTGAATCCTTATTGTCCTTTGATGGAAATTACTGTTCCTTATGGGGTGAGTGGAAGAAGAGGATGCGACAGGTGCACTAAACCTGACAGCAGAACTGGAAAATAAGAAAATGATTTTTCAAACTCGCTTTATTTTGGTGTGCTTGTGTTTCAGTGCAGCCTGTCAGGTTCTCTCTGTAGCTGTCTGGATTTTTTTCCTGCTCTGCCTGTCAGTTTATGGGCATTTTGGATTTAACTATATTGATTTTGTAGAAAAAACAGAGCATTCATTCTCATCCTGTGTTGTTTTTAACAATGCTTAATTCTGCTGCCATCTGGTCCATTTTACAGAGGTGAATTTGAGCTAACATTTGAGTCTTCATCTGTGATTACTATAGGGATACATTTTCTAGGCCTAAGGCTAATTTTGCTTCATTGTTGGAATGTTTGTTATTAAGAGAAATCAACTGTTATTTATTTTTAATGATTGATTGCTTTACTGATGGAGGGATGTGACAATGAAATGTTTTCTAAAGGACCTGCAGTCGTGTTGTTCCCCATGGTAGGTGTTATACCCTGATCTATACTTTCTTTTTTTCCATAGTGGCATCTTAATCACTGTTTGCATAGGAAAGCAGGAGAATAAAGAACCATTAAGGTAGCTCTACACAGAGCCTGTGGATAGAGAATTGGCATCACATGAATGATTGCTTTCTGTGGGTCCTTTCTGTGGGGACCACACTGAGCAAATCTCTCATACACCAATTTCCTGTTTGGTTTTCTAGTGCTGCAGGCTATGATGTGCCTGCACTGAGCTCCATCTTGAGCATGGAAGACCCTCAGTGGGGTCAGAAGAATTGGTCATCTTCAGACTTTGTGTTTTACACGTGTGCCCACTTACTGCTAAACCTTTACTACTCTTTTTTTTTTGGGTCACAGTTGGCACCAGAAAATACCCTGATGTCCTTCCAGAAGGCAGTGGAGCAGAAGATATATGGAGTCCAGGCTGATGTTGTACTAAGGTAAGCCACAGTCATACTTGGTGTGAGCATGGAGGCTTTCCCTATGCACAGCCCAAACCATGCTGTCGGGTCTCCATCTGCTGTCTGGTTGATAGTGGTCTTTCCCATTGAAAGGGGCTCTCATGGTGAATGTATCTGATAACTCCCAGGGGAGGCTTAGCAGTAACCAATTGGAACAGGCTGCTCGTGGTGGTGGAGGAGTCACCATCCGTGGAGGTGTTCCTGAAGAGGGTAGATGTGGTAACAGGGGACGTGGTCAGTGAGCAGGGTGGGATGGCTTGGGGTTGGGCTTGGGCACCTTAGAGGTCTTTTTCAGCTGTAATGATTCTGTGATTCCATGAACTCCTAGCTGTGTCTACTTGTAATGCACTGATGCTACAAATCATTCCACTGAGATGATGGCTGAAGGTGAAGTTGGCCAGTTGAAAGAACCTGGATTTCTTTTCTTACAAAAATAATAGTAATTAACCTGAAGATGCTGTTTACCCTAGAACTTGCTTTACTACAGTGACACACCTGCACCTGGTTTCTATCGTGGCTTGAAGTCAACTGGTCTTGGGAAAAGGCAGAAATGCTTAAAAATGACTTCTACTGGGCAGTGCAGAGAAAGAAGTGGTCTCAAAGTGACTTCCTTGTGCTGCAGGTCTTCAGGAGGGTTTTACCAGCCTTGCAAAACTGTCTACAGTGATTTAGCAGCACAGGAGTAAAATCATTCCCCTGCCCTCCTTCACTTCACATTACTGCAAGGGAAGGAGGATCCTGGTCAGACAGTTGCCCATCGAAAAATCTTTCCCTGCAGGCAAGTGTTGAGTTGACAAGGCCAATTTAGATGTCATTTAGAGTTCCTTTGAGAGCCGTGCTTTATTCCAGGAGTGTGATTGTTGTCCTTTCTGAACTGTTTTTTGCATGTATTGCAAGAGGGTGGAAGTGGCGTGAAGGGAGAGGTAGTGCCTTATCTTGGTGGTCCCTCAGTTTTCTGAGTTCCAGTTACAAATAAAATTAGGACACAAGGCTGGTATTTTCTTTCTTTTCCTGCTCTCTTTGAAGGTTGGAAAGGTAGTTTTGCCTGGTGGAAGAGAGATTCTGGAGCTTAACTGTCATGGTGCTTTCTTTCTTTCCCTAATTGAAAGAACATGAAAACTGAAGGAACTTCTTCCCCTGGGGAGTCATTGTGGAGAAACGAAGGAAGAACTGGGATACTGGCAATAAAATCCTTCTTTCAAAAATTACATTATTAATCGTTGTGAAAGGATAACTGAATAGGTTCCTCCTTTATCCCTGACCAGAGAGAGGGCTAGACTCTGGGAGGAGGAGAGCTTGAAAAGATCCAAGAGCTCTCCATGTTGCCACCCTCCAGGCATCTCAGAGGAGCATTCCAAGCATCTCACAGCTCAAATGATGATACTCTTAATGGATCAATTATCTGAGGCCCTTCAGGGGAGACCCAGGATGCTCTATAAAAAGAGGCCTTCAGTGACCTTCAGACCAAAACCAGAGCCATCAATACAGCTGGCAGAAATTTTAGGAAGAGTTTGCTTGAACAATGCTCTTCATGCCTGTATCTTGCTTTGTCACTTTCAGTTCACCTCCTGGGATGTTTCCATACTTCCCACTCATTCCTCCTCTTGAAGAATATAGGTAGGCCACTGGAACGTAGTCACATACATCACATCCTGCTCCCTATCCAGTGATGCTCCAAACTGGGTGGTTCTGGTTACAAAGCCAGCGCTGCTGCATTCGAAGCTTCTTTGCTTCAAGTATAAATAGCATAGTATCGCTGCATGTTCCCCTCCCATCTTCCATCTCCTCTCACCTCTCTTCTGAAGCTCTGATTTCTCACTCTGAATTATTTCTTCTGACCTATACCTGCTAATATGTTGGTTGTGATTCGCCCTGTGTTGTGCTGAGCAGCTCTGTACGAGGAGAGAATGGGCAGAAGGGAGTCAGTGTGAAGTGCCCCATTAGTTTCCGTGCTGTGGTTGAGTCTCGGCGGTATCTAATGATGCTCTGCTGCAAGATGTTAAGGCTTGAGCTCCTATCTTCCTTAAACAGTCCATGCTCATAATGCTGCAGTTTCTTAGCACCTTCCTTTTGACTTTAAATAGTAAAAACTCTTCTGACTGCAGAAGTGCACGGCTGAGTATGGTGTTGCTGTGTCAGCATGCTGCTTTGGATGGAGAGGGACACAGTTGGCATGATGCACTCCAGAAACAGCAAATAAGAAGCGAGTGACCTTTGTGATAAGGGACTTCAGCAGGCAGTGATAAAGATGGGACAGCATTTACTCCATCATCCCCAATTGTTGGCTTGTACTCCCTGTAGTTCTGTGGGTGAGTGCTCAGAGTTATCTCCTAATTCAGATGGGTTTTGTTTTTTAACCCCATCTCATTTCCGGACATTATCTGCCTAGTGAAGATGCTTTGGAAAATGTCACTGTAATCAGGCTGGCTGTGCAGAGTTTATCTTGATTTTTGAGTGCAGACAATTGTCCTCCAGCCTTTAATAAAAGCCTTCATTATCCCACCAACGATTCAGTGACAGAAAATTAGTCTGAAAGAAAGCTTGAAGAGCTTCATAGCTTCCCAAAACTGCTGTTCTGTTCTATCTAGGTGGCTTAAAAACCACAGGGTGTGCACTTGGCTGTTTGGTTTCTTCTGAGAGGTGGGTTTTCTTTAAGATGGATTTCTTTAAGATGCGTGAGCATAGCGGCTCATGTGAGCATGGCTGTCTCCTCAAACCAGTTTCAAAATGGAAAAGATTATTTAAGAGCAATTTTAGTAGCTTGTAGCC